CCGCCCCCTGGTGGGCTGAGCTGGCCACACACACACACACACACACACACACACACAAATAAATAAATAAATAAAATTTAAAAAAATATACAGACTGACTTTGAACTCACTATGTAGCACAGGCTGGCCTTGAACTTGGGACAATCCTCCTGCCTCAGCCTCCCAAGTACAGGGATTACAGGCATGCGCCATCATGCCCAGCCCAAATTTTAAATGCTTTGGAAGACAGGGTCTTACAGTATTACTCAGGCTGGTCCCTGACTCATCGGCTCAAGCATTTCTCCCATCTTAGCCTCCAGAGTAGCTGGGATTACTGGTGTACACCAACACACTCAGCTGGCTTTTTTTATTATTATTACATCTGTGGAGAAAAGTGCTTATGGGCTGGGGCACAGCTCAGTGGTAGAACTCTTGCCTAGCACAAGGCCCTGAGTGTGATCCCCAGTACTACCAAAAAGGGGCAGAGGGTCATATTATACAACTGGTTTGTTTTTTGTTGTTGTTGTTTTTGGTTTTGGTGGAACCGGGGATTGAACTCAGGCCCTTGCGCTTGCCAGGCAAGCGCTTATTCTACTGAGCCATCTCCCTGGCCCTGAGAGGGTCATATTATAAATCAAATTTTCACAAATGGAAGCCTCTAATACCCAGATCAATAAACAAAGCATGATCCAGTCTTGGAATTCCCTGTTACACTTCCGCCTACCCACTCTCTGAACTTCTAAAAGAATACATTAGTTCAGACAGGTGCAGTAGCACATCCCGTATCTTCAGCTACTCAGGAGATGAGGCAGAAGATTCCAAGTTTGAGACCAATCTGAGCAAATTAGCAAGACCCTGTCTCAAAGACCAAAAAAAAAAAAAAAAAAAAATTAAAAATGTGCTAGGGTTGTAGCTCAAAGCTAGAGTGCTGCTTAGTGTGCTCAAGACCTTGGGCTAGAAATCCCCAGTACTAGGATAAAAGATTAGTTTTTGCCTGTTTAGCTACAAATACTTTTGAATACCAAATCCTGTAGAAAATGTGAATTTTTTTTTATCTTTCTCTGAGTATCTTACCACATAGTCATTGTAAACAACAAATAACTGTAACAAACTCCCTAAGTAGGATTTTATTAAGATGTAAAGGATATGGGGCTGGTGAGATGGCTCAGTGGTCTAAAGCACCTACTTAGAACAAGCTTAGCAAAGCACGGACTGTGGTTCAATCCCCCAGCACCACATGCCAGCCAGCCCCGCCCCCTGGTGGGCTGAGCTGGCCACACACACTCACACACACTAAATAAATGTAAAAAAAAAAAAAGTCAATACCAAGCAATTGTCTTGTATTTTACTACTGTTTACACTCAGAGCATGTTTTCCTGTCTTTTATAACATAGCAATGCATACTATAAAAGGTAGTATCATTAAGTATGCAGTTGAATGGACTTTTACATTATGTATAGATCCATTAAATATATTTTAATCTCCATGATTTGCTACTGAAATTTTTTTTTTAATTTGCAGTTATACACTGTGAAACAGCTAGGTAGGATGGCATGTGTCTCTAGTTGCAGCACTTTGGAGGCTGAGACAGGAGGATTGCTTGAACCCAGTAGTCTGAAGCCAGCCTGGACAATGTATTGAGACCCTATTGTGATAAACAAATAATAAAAACTTATCTGCGCGAGGTGGTGCACACCTATAATCCTACCACTCTGGGAGACTAAGGCAGGAGAATCACAAATTTAACCCAGCTTCGGCAATTTAATGACTTTGCAAGACCCTGTCTCAGAATAAAAAAGGGCTGGGGATGTAGCTCAGTGCAGAGGTCCTGGGTTCAATCCCTAGTACCATCAAAAACAAAACAAAAGGGGGCCGGGGAGATGGCTCAGTGGAATAAGTGCTTCCCTGGCAAGCACAAGGGCCTGAGTTCAATCCCTGGTTTCGCAAAAAAAAAAAAGAACACCAGAAAAACAGCAAGCCTAGCATGATGGCACACACCTAATCCCAGCACTTGGGAGGCTGAGGCAGGTGGATCACCATGAATTTGAGGCCAGCCTGGACTACATAATCGAGTTTAAGGCCAACCTGTATAACATAGATCTTGCCTCAAAAACAAAAACACCCCCAGAACCAAAACGAAACAGTGAGACAGTGAACATCTTTGTGAATCAGACTTATTGTAATTTTCACAGTTATTATCTTCAGATGAATATCAAAGAAATTGCCAGCTTTGGAGCATAATAGTAGATAGACGTGGTATGCACTGTTTCATTTGTCCTGACCACCCACCAAGTAGAGACAGCTGTTGTGCACTCAAGGGGTGCGTCGGTCCAACTTGCTGTTGTCCCCCTACCACTTTCATGCTTTGACCTCTTCCCATATGCTGTTTGTCCTCTCTCCATCCTCTTTACCTGTTCCCCCATGCCCATCCTAGATCAGGGAGCTGCAGCTGGTGCTGGCCGAGGCCCATGACAGCCTCCGGGGCTTGCAGGAGCAGCTCTCCCAGGAGCGGCAGTTACGGAAGGAGGAGGCTGACAGCTTCAATCAGAAAATGGTCCAGGTGAGGGATGTACCGGCAAGCTGTCCCCACACTGAAGGCAGAGGGACTGGGCTTGTAGTTCTGTGGTGTAATCTTGTCTTGCATGTGCAAAGCATCCCCAACACTGTAAAAACAAAACAAAACAAAGCCAACTTGAAGGCAGGACCCTCAGTACCCTGGGGCCTCAGCAGATGAGAATGCTAGGGGCAACCATGTCTTGTAAGCCTATGCCCTGGAAGGGGTTACTGTGTTGTGATTTTGCGTTAGCTAGGCCAGGCTGGAATCCTGGACTTGGTGTTGGTTATCTGGGTGACCCTGGGCCAGTCCCGCTTCTTCTCAGGCCCTCAGTTTCCCATGTGTGAAATGGTCTTCCATCAGGTGTGGCTGATAATAAAGACAGTCCTGTGTTAGCATATATGGAGCCCTCACTGTGTTCCTGGCCCTGCTAACACACTTTTTGTACTTTATGTCCTTTGATTTCCTCCCCTGTGAGGAAAACAGCCCCGAGACCTGAAGGGCTTTGCCCACGGTCACACACTCGGGAAGCGGGGCCGGGCTTCTCTTAGCCCAGACTTGGCGTGGCTTCCTAGGATATTGCATATTCATGCATTCCCTTGACCCTGGCATCCTTCCACGTTTGTTACCTGTCCCTGCCATCACTGCTCGCCCTCCAGTTCCTCCTGCATTGTCAGGTTTTGTTTGAAACTTCTAGCAGCCAGTAAGTACTCATGATATGGTTATGTGATTTATTTAGTCGAACAGCTGATTCAGATCCCAGCTTTTCCATGGATTTGGATTGGGGTTGCTGTTGCTTTATGTGTTACTCTTCCCTAGGTGGAATGGGATGTTCTGGTGGGATCCTTGTGAGGGATCCCCAAAGGGTACCTCTCACTCTTGCCCTCTGCCCCTCACCACTTCCCCTCTGCTGGGAGTGGGTGGGAATGGTGGGAGCCTTGAATGCCTTTCTAATCCCTGCAGCTGAAGGAGGACCAGCAGAGGGCGCTGCTGAGGCGAGAGTTTGAGCTGCAGAGTCTGAGCCTACAGCGGAGGCTGGAGCAGAAGTTCTGGAGCCAGGAGAAGAACATTCTGGTACAGGAGTCCCAGCAGTTCAAGCACAACTTCCTGCTGCTCTTCATGAAGCTCAGGTGGTTCCTGAAGCGCTGGCGGCAGGGCAAGGTTTTGCCCAACGAGGGGGATGACTTCCTGGAGGTATGGCTGGGCTTGGGCCTGGGCCTGGTGAAGAGGGTGGGATGTGTGGGGCAGAACACTTCACACTAGCATTGGCTGCTTGTGGGGAATATTAGTGTGTGTAAGTGGGGGATGATCCTCAGAGCCCCAGGGGGAGGAGGGGTAAGTCCTCTGTGGAAACTGTGTTGTCTTTCTAAATCCTGGAATCCTAAATTTTGAATTCCAAGCATGTCTGGGGGTTGGGGTGTCACTCAGTGGTAGAGTGTGTGCTTAACACGCATAAGCCTTGGGTTTGATGCCCAGCACAAAACAAGAGAAAACAACAGCTCTGGCCCTGAGGACTTCACAGGAGCAATTGTGTGTCTCAGCAAAGGTCATCCAAAGACTGAGGGAGTAATGTCCATGACCAGTGTTGGAATTGGATGCTGATTCCCACAGGCTCCCGCACCCCACATCCCAGCTTCATTATCTTCCTGGATATATAACATTTGGACCCTTCCTTAATTGGTTTCTAGGACACCATACTCTGTTTTCCTTCTACCTTGGGGGTTCCTTCTTATCCCTCCTTCTTTGTATTTTTTCTTTGGTGGTGCTGAGGATGGAACCCAGGGCCTTGTGCGTGCTAAGTGCATGCTTTATCCCTCAGCCCCAGCCCCAGCTCCCTGACCTCATCTCCTACCATCAGAGTCTACTGCGAGGTATAGTGGTGCATGCCTGTAATTCCAGCATTCCAGAGGCTGAGGCAGGAAGATCACCAAGAGGTCAAGGCCAGCCTAGTCAATATAAAGAGTTCAAGGCCAGCCTGAACCACATAGCAAGACTGTCTCAAAAAACAAACAAAGATGACCAAAGTCTCCAAGGCTTATCCCTTGAAGACATCTCTCTGGCACCTGCTCTGACTCCCTCACAGGCTTTCTCGGACATGGAGTTATAAAAGCCTGGGCGTCCCCCTTGAGCCCTAGATTTTCATCATCTACGTCGCAGATCCACTCGGTGTCTAGTTGGCTCTGAAACAATATGTCAGAAGGCAAACAACTGCTCTTCCTGTAGGTCGTGACAGTGTCTTGCTCCTGCCAGAGACTGCAGTGCACCCTCTTCTCTTTCACACCTGAGCTGATCCGGCAGTTTATTGTGCCAGCTCTCCCTTAGGACCTGAGCTGTCCCTGCTTCTCCCTGACAGGACTGCCAGCACTTCTTTCTGATCACTGCCATCGCCCTAACTGGTCTTCCTCCTCTGCTTGCATACCCCTCCACCAGGCACCTTGTAGCCCTGAGGTGCCAGGAAGAGGCATGCCACTCGCGGAGTTGTGCAGTATGGCCATGTGATCCTCTTTAATGTGTTCCGGCACAGAGCGACCTTGTGAAACAGACTGAGCTCATGTCACTCCTCTGCTTTCAGCCCCTCCCTGGCTCCCCGAGCCTCTCTCATGGCTCCCCTGGCCTCCTTGCTAGTCCTCAGACAGGCATGCTCTGTCTCAGGGTCTTTGGATTCATGGTGCCCTCCTCAGCTTTCTCTTCCTCCAGCTGTTCCCCAGCTCATTCTTAGACTTCCTTCAGGACCCAGCCAAGGGTCACCTTCGGTGTACTTCGGTGCTTTGGCCACATGCAGCACACCCTCGCTTCTTCGCTGCCTTTTTTCTCTGTGGTGCCTGTCACTATATGACCTTCTATATACTGAACAACATTTCACATTTTTTACATATTTCCATCTGGGTTTTTCTGTTACTGGAATGGAAGGGGATCAGGCTTTTTGCCTGTCTTGTTCACTGATGGATTCCCAGGGCTGCATGGGGTAGATGTTCTGTGATTGGCTGTTGAAAGAACAGATGATGAAGAACACCCAGTCCAACAGTGCCTTCCTTCTGCTTTGCTCCCATCCTGAGCACTTGTGCTGCCCTGGCTGGATGGGCCTGGACTCCTGCCCAGCATCTGTCAGCAGTGCGTCCCCACCAAGCCTCTGGTCACTCTCATCTGTCATCACAGCAGGCCCTTTTAGCCCAACCATGTGCTCACCCTGGCTCAGCCTGGCATTGTGGTTGCTTCTGAGTAATTCTGAGGTGCTCGTGGGCCTTGGATAGTTCCCAAGGGTCAAGATTAAGATCTGCTAAGTCAGTTGGGTATGGTGGCACCTGGCTCTAATCCCAGTGCTGGGGAAGCTGAGGCAAGAGGATTGCTTTGAGTTCAAGGACAGCCTGGGCCACCTAGTTAGTTCAAAAGCTGATCACTGCCATCACACTAACTGGTCTCCCTCCTCTGCTTGCATACCCCTCCAGCAAGCACCTTGTAGCCCTGAGGTGCCAGGAAGAGGCATGCCACTCGTGGAGTTGTGCAGTATGACCATGTGATCCTCTTGAATGTGTTCTGGCACAGAGTGAACACATTCCTGTTGCCCTTAAGGCAACCTGGACTACACAATGAGACCCTGCTCAAAACCACTTTTTTTTTAAAAAAAAGAGATTTGGGAAATAGGTGCCAGACAAGGTACATTTGGTCCATCTTGAGCTGTCACCCCAACTCTTCCTTCCTGCCTGGCTGTGCAGTCCCTCAGCTATCTGGGCTCAGTGTCCCTGCTCCCCCCAAAGGCCGAAGCTCCACATGTGACCTTCCCTCACCCCTTGCTGAGTGTAACTTTTAAACATAGGTAAACAGCATGAAGGAGCTGTACCTGCTGATGGAGGAAGAAGAACTGAACGCCCAGCACTCGGACAACAAATCCTGCTCGGGGGACAGCTGGCCTCAAAACACAGTGCGTCCTCAGCCCCTCCCCAATCCTGTCCACTCAGAAATCACCTCCTTTTCTAATCCCAGCCCTGCACTGGGCCCTGGAGCTATAGATGGCATTGTCTGGTCACTGACTTCCCATTGCCTAGGACTGTGGAACACACAAGTTATCCTAGGGCAATGACAGGGCAGTGACATGGTAGACTGGAGGTCACAGGCAAAAAAGCAATTGATTCTACTTGACATATAGGGGGCCTGCCGGTTAGCTCAGTTGTTTAAATGCCTGCTCATGCAAATGCAGTCAGGTGCAAGATACCTCGGTTCGATCCCCACCTCCACCTGCCTTACCAGACCTGCCTTTAAGACAACCTGAGTCAGCAAAAATAGTATAATAATAATCATCATTCTATTTGACATATGGGAACAGTGTCACAGAGAAGGGGTTGTAGGCTAGTGAATATTGAAGAATGAACAGGAACTTGCCTAAAAATGAATGGAGAAAAGACCATTCTGATCCTCTTGCAGAGATGTGGCAGGGTATTCTGGGATTGGCTGTGGCTTGGAGTATACATGGTAGGGGCAAAGATATCACGATAGGGTTACATGAAGAGGGACCTTTATGGTCTGGGAGTAAGAACTTTCAAATCATGTCACAGTTCAGAGTTCAGTGGGGTCAGATTTCCAGGGCTACTCACAGAGAGAAGGGTATGAATGGGAAAAGAGGTCAAGGGCCAGGAGAGAAATCCAGCACGGCTAGGAGGCTCTGCAGTGGGTCAGAGGCAGGTGCTGACTGAGGGGAAAACGCACACCCTGGAGGGTGCCAAGCCTGGGGACAGTGAGCTTCTTCAGCTCTGTTTAGGCAGAGTGACTGCAGGAATTTTGTAAAAAGCAGGCAGGGCCGGGCTTGTCCTCCCTGCTTTATGGTGTAGCCTCACAGTCCTGGGCAAGTTCTCCAAACCCAGCTCCCAGAGTCGCTGACCCAGCCTTACTCTGTCTGTAGCCCAATGAGTACGTCAAGACACTGGCCGACATGAAGGTGACGCTGAAGGAGCTGTGCCGGCTACTGCGGGAGGAGCACCGGGGGCTGACCGAGCTGCAGCAACAGTTTGCCAAGGCCAAGGCCACGTGGGAGACGGAGCGGGCAGAGCTCAAGAGCCATACCACCCAGGTGAGTGCACTGCCCCAGGCAGGGTATCTGCTTCCCCTCAGCAAGGCCCTCAGCTGTCAGATTTGGGAGCTGGATGCCCAAGCAGTGCTTCTGGAGGGATAGACCCCACTCATTTCACCTTGTGGTCCAGAGAGGGCAGGAAACTGGCCTAGAACCACACAACAAGGGTCACAGAATAGGGACTAGGAGTGATGGGCCAGGCAAGGAGGCTGGAGGATTGACAGGCTGGTCTGCAGCACTGTGAGCTCCTGGTGAGGCCAGACTGCCTCTGGACCTGTGTGTACCTGCGCACATCCTGTGCACACTTCCTGGATCCCGTTCCATATCCTCAGAGGTCCCCAGCTCTCTGATTCCTTGCTCTGGTTTGCTCCCTCCACTTAAACTGAGAGCCTCACCTCCAGCAGCCCAGATCCCCACAGGCGCCTTTATCGGGATCCAGAGAGTTTATTGTCTGCTGTGTGCCTGGGGGCAAATTGCTACCTGCTCTGGCCTGACACCTGAGAAGGGTGCCCACGCAGAGAGGAGATGCTGGCTCCACCAGCTCCGGCTTGGCCCTGCCTCAGAAGCCTTCCCAGGTACCACTAGGCACTGGGAGGTGGGCATTCTGATGAACTCCACAGGACAGATGACAAAGCAGCCCAGGGAAGTTAAGTTTCTGTCCAGTGTCACTCAGTGGCACTGTGCTGTGCTCCCTGAGCCTTCATCTCCCTTGACCCTCAGGAGCACCTTCCTCTCGGTGCTCACAAGCTCTTGGTTTCTTCCTGGATCCCCTGCTCCTCCCCAAGCCTCCCTGCAGGTCTCATAGCACCTGTCCACCTGTGTATCATGAGTTTTGTCCTCCTGCTGCTCCCTCAATTCCCCCTATTCCAGGGTTCCTAACCTTCCACCAGCATCATGGGATCAATATCCCCAACCACATTCTCCAGCACTGGGGAGACCTTGGCTTTTCAATTTTCTTGATCTGGGGCCAAGAAAGTGGTCATGGTGTACTGGAGTGGTTCCCATACATATGCACCGTGACTGCATGTGTGCATGTGTGAATACATGTGTCCTTCCCCACCAGGGTCTGTGGGGGACAAGGCAGGTGCCTTGCTTTCTAGGAAGGGAGATAAAACATGTCCCCCAACAACCAAAACCTGTACTGCTGGTGAGAATGGATAGATACCAGGAGAAGCAAGAACTAGGAACATCTGCCATGTTATAGTTCTGTGACATGGGACACATGACCACTTGAGACCTCTCCCTCCAGAGAAGATATTTCTGTAGCCAAGTTTCCATGGGGACACAGAGGGCCTGCAGCACGGAGCTTGGGTTAAAGGAGCTTCTCCTTGGCTCTGACTGGATCTGTGTGCAGGAATGGCACTGAAGGCTTCTGGGAGCCCAGGACAGGGGGAGAGTAGAGTGGGTTAGCCTGCTGGTGGCAACTGGCTGGCTGCTTTCCTCCACAGATGGAGCTGAAGGCGGGGAAAGGGGCTGGAGAGCGGGCAGGTCCTGACTGGAAGGCGGCCCTGCAGAGGGAGCGAGAGGAGCAGCAGCAGCTCCTGGCCGAGTCCTACAGCGCAGTCATGGAACTGACACGGCAGCTGCAGATCAGTGAGCGCAACTGGAGCCAGGAGAAGCTGCAGCTGGTGGAGCGACTGCAGGGGGAGAAGCAGCAGGCAGAGCAGCAGGTGAAGGAGCTGCAGAACCGCCTAAGCCAGGTGAGGCCAGAGCTCACAAGACTTGATCTACAAGGGGGAGTCCTACGGGAGAAGTTCAGGGTCACATCTCTTAAGGTATTGCTCAGACAAGGAGCTCGGGTAGACTCTGTTTCAGGTATAGCTGGATCTAGGCATTCAGAGAGTAGGTCCTTCTGCTTCAGTCTCAAGCCTTCCTTCTCTGGTAGCTTTACTCTTTACCACCATAGTTTCTTGCTCAGATCTAACATCTCAGCAAATGCAATGAAAAGAGTTTCTTCCGCACAAGGTTCCGATTCCATGATCGTAGGTCACATGCCCACCCCTGGAGCCTACCAAAACCAGGCCCCAAGAGGGAGGAGCCTAGAGTCCTTCTCTTTGGAAAATCAGAGGCCCGAGCCAAACCGGGTCGGGAGTGTCAAAGCAATGGTCAATTATTACAGTTCACATTATGCGCCTAGCTGCTCTCTACCACACCGCAGTGCTTTAGTCTTTCTTTGACTTCCTCTTTTTTTTTTTTTTTTTTTT